ATTGAATGATCACTCCCAAAGCTAGGCCCCACGCTTTAAATTCAAGAGCCTCCTTTCTTGCCTGTCCTAGCAAAGAGCTTCAGAGTTGTTGTCCATCATCATTGTCCATCGTTGTTGTCTGTGCTGTTATGAGCCTAAGCTCTCCTATTTCCCATCTCTAGTGCAATTCCCTGTCATCGGAGGAAGTGGATCCACCTCAAAGGCACCTCTGAGTTCGGGTCTCAAGAGCCTTAGTCCTATGAGGACTACAAGCCGGACACGTCACCCATGTGGACAGTCAGTCCCACCTGACGCCAGCAGGAGTTTAGGACCAGGCTGCACTGTGCAAAACCAGTCCAATGTTAATTTTATCTGCTGGTCCTTCAGGAAGAGGACAAAACAGCATTCATTTTAGTTTAGACTTTGAATGCCTCGTTACTGTATGGGGCTGATGACTGTCCCTTTCTCTAATAATTGTGTGGCTTTGGAGCACAGTTCTGAGCCTGACCAAATCAGAAATGGGGTGTACACCAAATAAAAGGCAGAACCAAATAGGGAAACATGCTTATTTTTTCAGACTGCTAGAAGAAATATGCAATAAAACCTTGTCTGCATGACGAAAGTTGGATGGTTTTGCTATATCAGGCACTACCACTGACAAACTCTTGAGTGCAGACACTGCTTATACTGGAAAAAATAGTTCTTTTGATATGTAGCATACTTCATACCCCAAAACAAATAGGCTGTCCTGGCAAAGCAGCATTTCTACTGCTGGTAGATCTGTCTTGATCAAATTGCTTGTTCACATAAAAAAATTCAGCCCTAAGAAACACCCTTGCAGGGATGATCTCTCACTGCGTGCAGGATGAAGTCTGTCCTCTTGTCTTCTTGGCAACCGCCTTTACAAATCTGAAGAGCTCTATCTTGTCTCTTGTCGGCCTGCTCCAAATAAAACTGTCAGTAAGTTCTTCCAGCCTTACCTCTGGTCAATACCATTACTCCCTGCAGTTATGATATCTTCAAAATTTGTGACTTTTTTCCACCCTCCTACTTGACAGGGCATCTTGATCCAAGGTGTTTCCTACTAACAGGGAAGGTTGTCAAAGAATGAAAGTATTCTTACTAGTATAATTTTGCAAAGAAGGTCCTGATGCACTGTAGGATGGATTGATGCACTCAAATCATGCAAGAAGTCTGTGATACAGTCAGGTACTGAGCTCTGCCTTCAGCTGTAACTGGTGTCCTAACCTTAAACTAAAGTCTCTAATTGCAACTCTAGTTCTGCTATGTGTGCAAATTGGTTCATGCACATGCTTTCTCAGTTAATATAGACATAAGAAATGAGGAGGCAGTAAATTGATCTGCGGACACAGCTTCCAGATTCTTCATTAGCAGGAGGACTGGTGAACTGGTGTCATCAGTCCTGCGGTACCTCGGCACCAGAGCAGCTCGGATGCACCATCCCACGAGGGCAGTTTCAAATGCCTATCCCAGGCGTGAGGTGAGATGCTAAACCAAGAGAAGAAGCATAGGATGAACAACTCCTAGGGCTTGCTGAGCTTCGCCTTATTTTTCCTTCCTTATCCTTCAGCCCTGTCCCTCCCCAGCCTACATGGCTCCTCCTCGCTCACTGCTGTGGGCAGCAGCATCTCCCGAGCTCGCGGTGTCCCTGCCGGAGAACATCGTCCCGTCCTGGCAAGTGATTCCTTCAAAGTGCTTTTCACATCATCTCCAGCAATTGCATTCATGCCACAGGGCAGTTATCAGCTGACAGAAGGAAAAAGCATGAGATTAAGTTCCCTGTGAAAGAATTCCAAGGGCTTTTTAGTTTTAAGATTAGTCAGCCACAAAGACATTTTAAGGAAACCTGGTATGTTGGGCAGGCCCAGAGGCTGTTTACAGCAGTCGGGCAGCAGTCCATAACGCCGTCAGAGGCAGGAGCTGGCAGTCAAGCAGATACAGCCCCGAAGGTGCCTGCAAGGATGGCAGGGTGATCTTGGCCAGGACACCACGAGCACCGCTGTAAGCAGCCCTGTACGCTGTGAGACGGCAGAGAGACACTTGGCAAAAAAGAAAGGCACGGCAGCCCAGGCAGTCCCAGCCCTGTGCTCTGCTTGGGGCTTCTCCAGGGGATCCATCCATCTCATCCATTTTTGTAAGAAAAAGTTCATTTTAAGTACATTTTAAAATCACCTGCTTTATGGCTTGGGGGCAGAGGCCTGGCTGGCAATTTTTGGATGCTCAGAGCTGCCAGCGCAGGGGTTGTGTGTTGAGGGGGCTGTTTGGTGGCACGGGGTGGTAGGGGAAATGTTCATCACAACGTGCCAAGTAGAGGTAATTTCTGTCGCTTTTTTCCAGTTCACAGAGTCAAAGGGAGATCTCCTTTCCCCTCATGCACCCACAGCAGTACCTTGCAGCATGCTTATCCCCAGCTTGTGCGCAGAAGGAAAGCTAGGGGCCCTTTTGCTGTCTGCCTGGGATGGATTTAACTATGCTCAAGACTCTTCCCTCCAGCATCCTTCCAGCTGGCTGTTCCCTTTGGTGTGGGTGGAAGATCCCCTAAGTCATTCTTCATCTCTTGGCCCCACACTGGGCCATGCCCACCTCCATGGATGGGAACCTTCCCTTTTTATATATTAACCATCCTGATGACAGCAAAAGGCAGCTACGGTGACAGCCTTTCTGGAACAAGCAGAATTTATTGGTCACTCTGATTGCAGCAGTCCCGTGCCAAGCTTTACCAGAGGCCTTATCAGCAGGAGTGGCAGCTGTATCCAGCCTCTGCTGCTATGGATCCTGGCCAGCCTCTTCTCCCTCCTCTGAAACACGCAATTTCTTCTGTCTTAAGCCAGTAGGTCTCGAGAATGTCTTTATTTGCTGTGATCTTCCTTTCCTAGCTGAACATCCCTGTCCGGGCTCATCCCACCATGTGCCAGCATCTTGTGGTCCCCCAGCTGAGGGCAGGAGCTCGCTCCTTCCCCCGGGAGAGGAAGCAGCAGACAGCAAAACGGGAATGTGTGTCAGCCAGCCCTGCCTTGGTCAGGCCGTGGAGGGCTGGAACCACCTCGAAGGGACTCCGGGCTCCGAAAGGCTGTTTGCACCATGCGGAGATCCTGGGGCTCACGGTGAGCATCACATTTGATTCCTGCTTTCCCTCCAGCTGCTGGAGGTGCTTCGGTCGAACCGCTTCCCCTGTGCTGCTCCATTCCCTGGCTCCAAAGGAAGGAGGCATCCTGACACCGCTTCCTCTGTAAAGAGCTGGTAAAACTACTGATGCGACACTGCTGGGGCTAGGCAGTATCATTTCAAGACCAGGCTTGCCACGGAGTTCTTCTAGCCTGCATCCAGGGCTCGCCTCTAACCCCGCTTTGGGGTCAGTTGGGCTGTTGGTGGTCACAACTTTGCTCTTGCTTCACACAGGAGAGGGGCAACTCTCACTTGGAAAGCCTGGCACGCTGGCTCTGCAACACCAGCACTGCACCCTGCCCCTTGCCTGTACCGCTAATTGCAGATTAAGGCCGACAGGACCATCCAGGTGCTGGCCGTAGCGCGCAGTCAGGGAGCAGGACGTGTTCCACTGGGATGTGTCCAAGGCACAGGGTGGGAGAGGAGGAACAGAACAATTAAGACATTCACAGACACTGGGGCGAAAACATATTGCTGAGATCCACAGCCACTGTGCAAGCGTTTGCTGGTTTGGGACCCAGAGGTGTAAACACACGAACAGACAGAGCGTGTGCTGCTGGATGCACCCACCGTCATTTTGTTAATGTTATCTCCGCCCGTGCCTCGAGTGCAGGAGACCTTTTCTGTTTGGTGGCAACTTCCAAGGCTTTGAACTGCACTTCTGTGCTAACTGGTACAAGACATTGAGAACGGTCTTACCTCCTGAAGTCATGCTGAAACATCCATTTGCCGACTGAAAGGAGAACGACATCTGCAGGAAAGTTGGACTGGTTTCTGGTTTTTTTCTTTTTCTTTTCCCCCAGCCCAGGACGTTCTCGGCACTGCCAGCTGGATCCTTTGCCTGGCAGATAGGCTGTTTGTGTAGGATAAAGGGGTCATAAGTGCAAGTCCTTGCTTTGTCAGGAGAAAGGCAGAAGATTTATTCCTAAATCATGCAAAACAAGGGTTTCATCATTCTGAGACACCGACATGTCTGTCCTTGTTGCTTTTTAAGTTATTCCTGGGAAAGCATTGCTGAAACTGATGTGCTTAGGCAAAATCCTTCCATTCCAGTGAAAAAACATTCTTCCATTATGCCAATCTGAGTAAAAAAAGATCTGATTGGTCCTGTTTAAAAGCTGCCCTCATCCCCTCCTCTTGGGATCATACACATTTTCTTTTAGATATCGTATCCTGATCAAAATGCACAAGAGTAATGGTAAGAGCATTTTCATTGCTGATTCAGAAAATGCTTTTGATCCACTTCTTAAAAATGCATCAATACTGAAATACGAAGGGCCAAATTTCTGCCTAATCTAAGCTGGCTTCAGTGAATCTCTACAAATTCATACCCTTGCATGCATCACAGGTTGAGAGGGGGCCCTTGCTTGCCCTGCAGCTTGGCCTTCTGCACAGAACAGGTCAGAAATCCCCCCCCGGTGATTTCAGCAAGCTCAGAGGTCAGAGGTGGGCTGGGACGTGCCCATCGGTGGTTTAGAGGCCAGTAACCCCAGATGTCCCACTGGAGCTCCACATGCGCGGGGCAGCCCAGCATCACTTTGTGCATGGAGACCCATGACCAGCCCTGCCGGGCAGGCAGGAAAGGGCAGCAGCGAGCAGGCTGATGCCGTTGGGAGAGAGCCCAAATAGCCAGGAAAAGTAGCGTCCCCTTTGGCCAGCCTGCCTTTCTGAAGCAGGATGCTCCCACCAGCCCGGAGCCCATCTTCCTCCTTTCATGCCCCTTGCCCCCTCCCTCCCACCCCACAGCCAGCCGCAGAGACACCGGAGCACATTAAGAAGCCCAGAAAATGTGGGGTTTTTATTGACTGTTACAGACACATCTGCCTCCGGAGGGTTTAATGGTACTTGTAGGCCAGAGCATGGGCTACCACGCCGACCAGCTTCTGCCAAGTGGCCTGGCAGGCAGGAGTGAAGTCCTTGGTGAAGTGTGCGGCCAGCACAATGATGAGGATGTCTCCCAGGAGCTGGAGAAGAGAAGGAAGGAAATCAGGTCAGCACGGTGTTGAGCACCCCTTCGCCTTGCGCAGGACCAAGGGACCAGGGCTGGAGGGAACCCAGCTGCTCTGGTGGGTCCTGGAGGCTGCGACCCAGGGAAGCTCGTTTAGCTGAATCCTCTGTGCAGGAAAATAGTCCTGTGCTGACCACATGCACCAGTATCCACCTCCTCTGTCTCTGCTTCATCTCACAACTGCTTTTTCCAGCCTCTAGACTTTATTTTCAGGCCTTTTCTGTCTTTTTTCTTTTTTTTTTTCTGCTGTGAAATGCCATGCCTACTTGAGGGTTAGGTCAGTGCAAGCTCTACCTGCTACATCCCCAAAGTCAGGCCTAAACAGAGACTGAAACAGAGGCCATCAGCCACATCCAGCCCCCTCAATCCCTTCCAGCCTGAACTGCTCCCTCTCTTCACCCACGGTGACTTCTCACCCCCCTGCACCATCATCCCTTTTGCTTCGTTCCCCTCCTGCTCCTCTCCCTCATCTGCTGACTTTGTCCCCACGCTCAGACCTGTCCTCTCTGTCTCTAATCCCAGTCTGCATCTCTTCCCACCAGTGTCCAGTCCCTAACTATCCCACACTTGCTTTTCCCTCTCCTCCCATGTCTGTCAGCCTTGGAAAAAGGGGAGACAAAGTGATCCCCACCCCCGGGGCCGGGAGGTGCCAGGGAGAGGCTGCACATGGCACCGGCACAGCGGCAGCACCCTTCGGGCACTTCCTTCCATGCTCTCCACCCCCAGACCCACTTGGCCTCTCTGCACCCTTCTCCCGCTTTTCTCAAGCCATGCCTGCGTGAGCCTCCAGGCTTTCAGAGCATCTCCCTATATTTGTCCCCAAACCCCTCACAACCTGGAGCCTGGCATTTCCCTGGCACTATCAAATGCCCAACCTTCCCCCCTCCCCCAGTTTCCATCCAAGCAAGCCCCTTTCTGTTTGGTAACTAAAATATATGTCATTTATGCTTGTTTGAAATCCTCCAGGCACTGAGATACTCTGCAGGATGGAGGGAGAGAGGGTCGAGCCCTGAACGCAGCTCACCCTGAAGTTCTCGGGGTCCACGTGCAGCTTCTCGCAGTGCAGCTCGGACAGCTTGGCGTAGGTCGTCTTGAGGTTTTCCAGGTTTTTGACGGCTTCCCCAAAGGAGGTGAGCACTTTCTTGCCGTGGGCACGGACCTTGGGGTTGCCGATGATGGCGCCAAAGTTATCAAAGACCCTCGGGGTCCAGGGGTAGACGATCAGCAGCCTGGGGAGAGACGGAGGGACACAAGCAGACACAGACACATTAATGCTCCCAAATGCAATTGCCATGGTTTCTCTATCCAGGGTGCAGCTGAGCAGATGCCCGGGAGCTGGACCTACCTGGCCAGGGCCTCAGCACCACATTCTTCCACGTTGACCTTGCTCCAGACGCTGGCGATGAGCTGCTTCTCTTCAGCTGACCAGTGCACCATGGTGGCAGGCGGCTTTGCTCAGAGCTGCAGGAGGATGCAGACCCCGTAGCTGAGCTGCAGACCCCACGGAGGCTTTTATCCACTGCCGGCAGCTCCTCCCCGTCCTGCGCTGCGGGGCCATTGGCTGGGGCCGGGGTGGGGGTCCCCACCAGCGGTGGGTCGGTCTATCCATGGAGTGGTCAGTCTGCAGTGAGGTGTGGTCTTCAAGGAAAAAGCCCAGTGAGTTGCTTAACAGGCAGGCTCAGGACACAATACCCTCTTATCTCCCTCCCCTCCCTGCTGTGACCGCCTGCTCACCACAGGCACGCACATGCCACCCCATGCCCTGCAGCCTGCAGCAGGCACTGACCCATGTGCAAGGTGCTGCACAACAGCTTCATGCCGGCAGCACCCAACTTTTGAGTCCTCTGCAGGACTTACAGGCTCTCTAAACTTGAGGGATATTTCTCTGATGGGACAGATGAACCTGATTTATGAACTTAGGCACTTCACAGACCCTTCTGCGTGGGAGCACACTCTTGGGGACGCTGAGTGCTGTTGCCCTCGGCCGCAGCTCTGCAGCTCTGGACACACAGACCCGCAGAGAAGCCCCTGTCGGTTTTCCTAAGCAGGCACCTTTCATCAGGTGAAAGTGTGGAAAACATCGGCCTGTCAGTCCAGTTCCTCCACATCCGAACCGCGTGCGGGAGATCCACGGATGTGCAGCCATGCTTGTTGTTAATGACACAGAGATCACCTCCTCCCGCTCCAGGTTTCGAGGAATACCTGTGCGGGATGCCGGTGCCGGGGCAGGCCGGGCCTGGGGGCAGGCTCCTCGGCTCTTCTAATGTGTACACAGTGTGAACACTGGCCTCTCCCTGCTGGGAAATGGAACGCCTTGCACGAGGATAGCAGGACCTGCCGTGTTACAACCAGACCAGTTCCACCAGTTCAAGGTCTGACCAAAGGCTTTTGTTTGACTCTGGGTGTCACCTTCCCGCTGAACCACACGGGTGTCGTCCTGCTTTTCAGGCTTCAGGTGAAGCTGTGCTCCCATGCTCTGGAAGGCAAAGCCGGGATGCACGAGATGTAGGGCACCCTGACAAGACCATGGACTTTGGGTCTGTCTGCAGGCAGTTTGGGAGGTTTCATCCAGACCTCTGTCCCATTCCAGTTACAGATCGATACTGGTCCATTGATCTCATCTCTGCAGTGGCAGAAGCCCATCACTGTGATCCAGCTGGGGTGGTTCACGTCTGTAGTCACATTTCAGCTCCTTGCCGCAGGGTCCTAGGAGGCGTTATTCATTTTTTAGAATTTCTGAATCCTAGGCAAGGCCCACAGGCCCCTTTCAGCAGCCACCGGAGTGGTCTGATAACAGAATGCGGAGCAGAGGCTGCTCAGTGCAGATAAATGTAACGTGCAGGTGGCCAGCGCTTGCTTTAGTTCCTCACCTAAAGAGCAGACACACGGTCACACGCCCTTGGTTCTTAATGTCAGTTTTCAATAAGACAGGACTCAAAGAGTGAAATCAAATATGTGGAACCCTAAATTCACAGGCAGATACTCACATCACGTGAGTCAGCCAGCCCATACAACGGAGCACAGGGCTGACCAAAACAGCTGTACGCTCAGCTGGGGGATGACAATAAATGACCTGGCATGGCCTTTTCATTTATTACTTCTCTCGTCCTGTAATCTGCATTTCCTGGCAGACCCACACTGAAAATAAAATCCAAGCTACATCTGGGTCTATTATTAGCAATGCATTTGCCTCATCTGTGATAGGAGTCTCATTTTCAGCTCTGCACAGCTGAACTTTAAAAGAGAAAAGATAATGATGCTTTTCTTATGCATTTGAACCACCAGCATGAAAAAGCTCGGGGAGGGGTGGCAGGGAGCAGGAGGAGTGCGAAGCTGGGACAAGCAGGACAATTTCAAACACAGAGGCTTGGAGGAGACTGTTAACTGCAGTATTACTATTAACAAGAATCTGTGGTTAATAAATGCTGTTTTTCTGGACTCTGCAGAAAAGCAGGCAGAGACGTGGCTTGCAGTGAGAAACGTCAGGTCCTGGTCCCACGCTTTGACCCCTTCAGGGTCTGTTTTTGCTGGTGCACATGCGGGAGCAGGACCACTTCTGCACAGGATGGTTAATGATGGCCACAAAGAGCCGAGGGGAAGGGGAAGGGGGAAGGCAGAGGAAAGAGAGGAGGAAGAGAGTCCGAAGTCATTCCAGCTCGTTTGGTGCTACTTTTCTGTATTGATTCCTTTTAATGGCTTCTTTTATACCCACAGTAATTCTTTAAACTCTTTGAATCCCGTAGGATGGGCACTCATAGAAAAGGAATACTAGCAGGTGAATCAGCCAGCTAATCCGGTTAGGGTCATATCAGAGACTTGTACGCCTCTGGATGTGGAGAGTCCATAAAAGCAATAATAGCAATGACCTTTTACAGCCACTCTGGGCTGTAAATTAATATATGAGCTTCAGCCTACTCCTATCCCACTGGTCCTTTCGGCTGTGTCCAGTCTAGCACTGGTGCCTTGATTTAACTTGAAGGCCAGAGCTACCTTGCCCCCCCGCACTGCTAATGCAGATACCTAATAAAGGGTTGCTCCAGAAATGGTGCTTGGGGCAAAAGGGGACTTCAGGTTACTGCCCAGGTGAACCCCAAATTCGGGACCAGAGCAAAGCCTTACAAAATGTTCACAGGCCGTGAGGAAACCAGCAGGGCGGCTGCTCTAAACCCATTCAGGATGTGGTCAGCAACGAATTCAGGGAAATGCAGAGCAGCAGCAGGCTGGTCTGTCACCGTAACTTAGACAACTTTCCCTGGCTGGGACTGTCTGGTTACGAGCCTGAACATGAAAGCCAAGGAGAATTTCTGAAAATGCAAGTTTTTTCCTTAGGAGGGAAAGGGAGAATAGGAAAGACCACAAACAGAAGAGGTACGGGCGCACCACAGTGGAGATTTGGAGCAGATCGGAGTTTTACAGCAAGCAGGCAGAGAGCTTCATATTATTACTGCAAGGAGAGTTATCTAATTTAGCTGTAGCTCATCGCCCGAGGCACTCTGCTTTCAACACAAAGACATTTCAAGTTGTTTCTGTGCCGTAACAATAAACTAAGAGAAAATATAACTGCAGGTTAAATGAATGCCTCTCTGCCCCTAACGTGGATCTCTAATTTCAGGATCCAGGTTTAACCCTTTGTACCCTTTAGGCTTGACTCCTAGAGATGCGGAGCACCCCTTGCTCTGACTGCTCTGGCCTGAATTTCACGCCACATAATGACTTACTTAACGTGCAAGCATGGGCCTCGGTGTTTCAGCTGGTTTACAACCTTTTTGCCTGTATTGCTTTAATTTTGTAGGAAATCTGGGTCTGAAATTTGGGTCTCAGGTGACGCTGTCTGGAGGCTGGGGGCTGGTTGCAACAGAAATGCACAGAGGACCTCCAGGGCACCGCAGGAGATGTGACCTGACCCTGTTCATACATCCCTGTCCCTATATCCCTGTAAAGGGATTCACCAGGACATACCCAGCCCCAAAGCCAGTCTAGCATCACAGGCTATGGGGGGTTCAGAGCTGAGTGAGGTGAAGGGATGAGAGGCACACGGTCAGGCATAGGAGCCAGGATATTCAGGGAAAAGCTAAAGATTTAATTAAACAGCTTCTGAGTTATCCCTCAACACAAGAACTTGGGCAAAAGCAACGCAGAAATAGGAAAAAGCAGCTTTTTTATTCATGACAAGATGTCTCCAAGACAGTCTCATTTAAGGCAGTGTTTTTCCTGCCTATAACCAAGTTGATGGTTTGCTCTCACCCCTCACCCTCGCTGGGGTTTTCATCTGCTCAGCACAAGAGGGGCACAGGCTCCTGGCAAGAGGGTCCAGCCTGTGCCCTCCTACCAGAACCTCTGCCTGGGCTGCAAAACAAGCCCATGTGAGCTCTGGGCTGTAGGGGACACCCGAGTGGGACAACTTGAGCAAGGGACATGGTCAGTGCAGCACTTCCCAGAGTGCAGAGGGGTTGAGGGAGCCAGGCGGGGTTTTCCAGCTGTGGCCAGGTGTGTGACGAGTCTCCATCGCAGCGCGGTGCACGCTTTGCTGCTGGACCGTGCTGCACCATTGCAGCACCACTTCTCCCAGAGCAGGGCTCTGCCTTGCTTTGCAGTGCTTGGGCTGGTGTAGCATCCCCGGCCGCAGCAATGTAGCACAACACCCAATTATCAGCCTGACAGAGGCTGGTTGGGACCCCACCGCCCTGGCCATGCCCAGCTCCCCCTCTATCACCTGCGGGCAGCCCATCGCCGCCCACACCCTGTGAGCCCCGTGCCAGATAGCTCCTCGTCACCCTCGCTGCAACCCGAGATAAAAGCCAGCGCCACCCATGCTCAAGATGTGACAGCCTGTTTTCTGCCCCTGGATTTAGCAGAAATGGGCTGCAGTATTAGTGGGGCTGGGGTCCGGCTCTGCTGCTTGCTGGCACACGGACAGCCGTACAGGCATACGTCCACCCACACATCAGCTGCCGCTGTTTGCTAGTCACACCAGTGTGCAGCCCTGGTATCTATGGGTTAAACTGAGTTTTCCTGTAATTTTTTCTCTTAAGGCAGGTGAGAGGTGTTACAGGGCAGGATTTCAGGATCTCCTTCATCGCTGCCTAGTGCCCAAAGACAGCATTCACACCAGAGCAAAGTCTGTACCAACACAGCTGATCAGGAGGATGGGAGCTGACTCTCGGTCACCGAGCCATCCCCCCTGCTCCCCTAGCGATGTGGGGGATCCCAATATGTGTGTCTCCCAGGGCCCCTGGGCAGAGCAGGAGGTGAGCAGAGGAGAGAGAAAGGGATGGAAAATCAGACCCACAGAAAGGATCCCTTCTGGGGTTTCATGCCCGTGCAGTTGAAATAAGTGATTATAATACCATGGGATAACAGTGCCATGAATTATAGTGCCCTGGTCAGGAAACCTACAAAGCAAAAAGCTCTCAGGCATTGACACTGCGTGTGACACT